ATTTAGAAAATATCTCTTATCCCCAAAATTCAATATATACATCACATAAACCCATTAACAGACGCATATGTTTCAAAGAAAAAGCAGCAAGGAAAACCGTAGCACAAAGCGAACTATGATTTGGCAAACAAAAGAGCGACGAAGATGAGGCGATACGGACGCGCAGTTCACAATCTCACGTCAGCTGGTCTTGCTTTTAAGCGGAGTCAGAATGAGGCGGCGTAAGAGACTTCGACGGAGCGTAGTCTTCTACCCTCGGGATGCACGGGTGAAATGGACGGAAGACGCGAAGAAGAAGAAGAAGAAGAAGAAGAAGAAGGAGGAGAGGCGGAGGAGTGTCCGAGGAAGGCGGAGCGAGACTGAGGTAGCTAAGATCAGAAGATTTTTTTTTTAGACGAAAAGGGGGAAAAAGGAGAGAGAAAGTCTAAAAAAACAGAAGATAAAGAACTGGAAGGTCTTGTGGAAAGGAAAGGGAGAATGGAGAGCTGGGTGTTGGGGCTTCTCTTACACTGCGGTGAACTTGAAGCGATGGCCCAAACCCTGGCGGGAGAATTCGAGGTTCGCGGGGTAGTCGAAGAGGTTCTGGGGTCCTGGGGTCGTGCTGGTGAAGGTCGGGACGTGGACGGCCTGGTGGTGCAGGGGCTGGTGGTGCACGGGCTGGCGCTGGACTGGGAGAGGGGGAGGCTGGGGAAGAGCCTGACGAATGGGCTGGGGAGGGGGCTGGGGAGCGGGTTGGGGCGCTGGCTGGAACTGCGGCTGGGGCTTGGCGACCGGGGTGGGGTCGTGGTGGTTGGATTTGGTGATCCTGAAGCCGATGCCGGGGCCAGCTGAGGAGGAGAATGGGGTGTGAGCGCATGGGTCCGAAAACGTAGACTTACGGCCATATTAAAACTCACTATCGAGTTTGGAACACTCCATATCAACAAAAACTCACGCACATATCAAACAAACCTTAACCTAACACCAAAGCCATAGACAGACAAAAGCAAAACTCAATCGGAAGAGCTCTAGTACCTTCGAACTCGGTGCGGAGGAGCTGGCCACCTTCAGAAGGATACTCCCAGTAGCCACGCCTCACTCCGTTGGCGTCGGTTTCCTCGAAGTACTTGATGCCGTCCTCCTGGTCACGGAAGTTCCCGAAGGTGCTGCCCTCTTGGTAGCGCTTGTCCTGCAGGATCTTGACGAATCCTGCCTCGAACTGCGCCCAAGCTGCCGCCACCAAACATAGCAAAACCTGTAACAACCGATTAAAGATTAGAACTGCCTTTAAAGATAAGAACTGCCTGTTTTGTCGTTGGCTCAAGTATCCGATGCGCTTCAGTGTAAATGACATATGAAGGATTCAGCGCCCCAGCAAATCGTGGTATTTGTTAGAGGAATATTAACACTAACAATAAATAAGAACATAAATGAAATCGAAGAAGCCAACACTTTATATGATCCCTGAGAGCGATCACCAAGACTATTAAAACTTGCTCGGGCGTTTAGTTCGGTAAAACAAGCCACCCTTACCTGCTTTCAACCACTGACAGATATTTTACTTAAAATTACACATTCCATATGCGCGCTTTTCAAAGGACCTAAATTTAGGACGGGGGAGAGGGTTATCACTGAAAATCCCCTGAAATCAATGGATTACTCTGATGGATTAAGTCGTGACAGGCTTAAGAACGGACTTCAACAGCTGAAAGGCTAGCGATTTACGTATATGGTTGTGCAGCATGCAAATGTATGTTTAAATATACCGCAGGAGTCAATTTCAAAAGACATGCAATCATTCAAAAACAAACTTTCATAATACGCTGAAGTGTAAGTATCTTTCGAGGGAAGATAAATCGTTAATTCCTGTCCAGTTTCAACTCATGCATGAAAACTGAAAAAGAGCTTCCAAACATTAGAACTGAGACGTACCAAGGTCCTCATTCTGGAAGTGTTTCTTGCTCCACTAACCTGAAATCAGCAGTCCACTCTCTATATAAAGGTAAGCGTACCCGTCGACCTTGGCAGAGTTGCCTAGTGCTAATTTTCATCAACTGTGTATCTTCATTTTACCAGCTAAGATCATCATCATAAGGTGACATTCTGATGTAAGTTCCAAATCTTTTTTTCATAGATTAAGTGTAAAGGTTATAAGTAAGGCCTGCGAATGAGGTAAAAGGTGGCTGGGTGCATATTCACCACAGTAATTATAAAAGCAATATTGTTTTGCGTGTTACAGCGTTCATTACACAGTCGATATCTGTGTCGTGGGGTTTTTGAGATTTTTTTTTATGCAGTAATTCTTGCTATGTGTAAAGCACGCAGAAGCAAACCATACACATAGGGAACCTGCACTCATTTCAACCTGAACTGCTTTTTTTTCTTAAGCAAATCTTGCACACTCCAAGACAGAAGACAAATCGCATTTTTATTCAAGAGAAATATGCATAATCGAAATCAAGCCTTTTATACGAATTAATATGATTTATTTATCGAGAATCTATACATGTTCTCCATTTAAATGCGTATCTGTAAATTTTCTCCATTAAAATGCACTTCCACTACTTACAAACAACTTTCTTGTTTAGGATTAAGTGAAGGTCGTGCAGGTTGAGCGAGGCAAGAAAGCCTTCCGGTAAGGAAGTACTATGAATAGTAGAGTACGCGCAGGTGCGTGTGAAGTGAAGCACACACACTCGCATACAAACATATATATATATATATATATATATATATATATATATATATATATAGTATATATATATATATGTGTGTGTGTGTGTGTGTGTGTGTGTGTGTGTGTGTGTGTATAAAATGATTTATCTACTTGTTCGTCTATATATCTGTCTATCTGCATATCTATCTATCCATCGGTCTTTATCTGCATGTATGCTGTTGTATACATGCAAGCATGTATGTTACACGTATGTATGCATGTATTTATGTATATGTATATGTGTGTGTGTATGTACATATATGTATGTATATATATGTATACATATATATATTTACATATGTATGTATGCATATGCATTGTATATGAATGTATATTATGTATATTTATATTATATATATACATATATACCTATACATTATATATATATATATATATATATATATATATATATATATATATATATATATATATATATATATATAGTATATATGTATGCATATATATTGTATATATGTGACACACGCACACACATACACACACATTGCACATATATAAGCTGGCACTTGTACCGACACCTTTTTAATACCTCTAACGGCAGTATTAATTTGTTTACCAGTACCGTTAGCAGTAGTTTTGCAGACGTCCTAACGGTACTTCCAAGTTAATATATAATTAGAGATTGAAAGTCCATTTTCAGGTACCGAGGTTTTGTAGCGTCAGGAGGTGAAGTGTTGCATTCCGTAAACATGCATGGTGGCAGCAGTGAAGGATGGGAGAAGAAATTTAGCCTCCAATTCCCAAAGAAAAAAAAAAGGAAAAAAAATGGATCGTATCCCTCTTTCGTATTCATTTATTCACACACACACACACACACACACACACACACACACACACACACACACCACAACACACACACACACACACACACACACACACACACACACACGTTTCTCCTTAGCTTCGATGTCTTCTCAAGTAGTCAATCACCATTACTACATATTTTACCAGTTTCCGCTTTTCCTTGACTATCGGATATTGTTTAAATTACTGTAATCATTATCAATACCACTCGTAACTCAATGAACTTATAATCAAAACGGTAACAATAACAAGTGTCTCGAGGTTAATACCATTTTTTTTTTTTTAGGCGATGGTATTGTAAGGAATGGGGAACTCGGGTGAGGCTCGGTAGGGCCTGGTAATAAACTCATTGACTGAGCACTTGAAGGGGCATCTGTGTGCAACAAAATTCACAAAAATAGTGTACGGAACAAATCTGATTAACCTGCAACCACGTTAATCTGCTGAACAATATCACTCAATATACTTACACAATACAATAATAATAGCAACACACTAAACAGCGTTCTAAAAAAAAAACAAAACACGTTTTATCCCTTCCCTCTTCAGAGAAAAAAAAAATGCGACGGCCCTGAGACCAGTTTGTATGTTTCTCATCCCTGCCTTTGCTGAGCCGGAAGAAAATGGTTCGTAGTTTACATTCTCATGCTCAATATACCCTTCCTTCTTCTCCGCTCTGGATTTCTGTTTTGCCTTTGAAGGAAGGCGGGAAATGTAGATTTTATTGGAGAAAATCGTCATTATATGTTTGTTTTAGATGTTTTCCCATTATTATATTATTTATGTATTTTAATGGGTGTTCGTACAAGTAGCAAAAAGAAAAGAAAGATATTCATTTTTTTTCACGAAAACGAAATCTCGATAATAATAATAATAATGATAAAAACATATAAGACGTCAGCAGTTTGTACAAGAGTATGCATTTCTCTTTCTCAGGGCAAAGTAAGTGGTTACAAGGAAGCTATTTACACTTTGCTTATTTGTTTTAAAAGCAAAGATAAGAATTCGATAAATTCGCCAAGAAAACAATCCCGTCTTGTGCTTTATTTGATACCATTTGTGCATTTCCTGATAAACCTTCAAAAGTCATATTACATTCGGGAAGAAAATGACATTCTCCTTTCACATATTTTTCTCAGAAAAAGATATAGGAATGGTTTAGAATCTCATTTATGTACATTTAATGAATACATGAAATATTTATGAATAAATAAAGATACTGACGAATATACATATGAAGAGAAAAAAATGAATGAATGGATAAAGAGAAAATGATTAATGTCTGAAGATAAAAATTAATAATTTAGTACAAATAAAAATAAATCAAATAGAAGTGAATCAAAAACTAGATATATAAAAGGCTATATAAGTAAAATAATAATAGTAATAATAATGATAATGATACTACTACTAATAATAATGATATTATAAGAAAGTATATATATTATATATATATATTTATATATATACATAAACAATGAGATAGGCTCAAGATAAAAATTATGTGCAGAAAAAAAAAAAAAAAAAAAGAAAATAAGAAACCACACTACAACATAAAAACACATATTATTCACCACTACACACAAAATATATATTCGTGTGTGTGCGCGCACACACACACACACACACACACACACACACACACACACACACACACACACACACACACAACACACACACACACACACACACCACACTCTACACACTCTTTATAACACGGTCTTGTTGTTTGTTACTAAACCACGAGTTCGAAGCGCCTGTTTTCGACACCACGGACCGGTTGCTGCTCCGAATGCGCGTGAGCTGGTGAAGAGGTGGTGAAACGGAGAGCTCTCACTCTTTTCCACTCGCGCCACTCCTCCCTCCTCCATTCTCCATATCTATATTTTTTCGTATTTTTCACAGGTTTGTTTTTCCTATGGTAGAATAGGATTAAAGTCTACGATGATTAGGTAACCTTAAAATAGGTAGAGATTTGGTGAATGATATTTGGTGTCTGAATGTATGTTAATGTTTCCGTCGTCGCGACGGTCCCTTAAATTAAATATTAATGTTGTATTTTTAATGAATTCATTAGAAACTGATAAGAAATTAAACATGTTGAATAAGAGGAAAAGAAATTAAATTGAGTACCCAAGCATACTGAGACAGAGATTGAATTATAACTCAATCAAAAATTAAATTAAGATATTAAGTGGCGCACGACCTATTTAAGAGATTAAGAATGCTTAATTTAATCTAAAAAACTGAACCAAATTCAATCAACAAACTATATCTCGCTAAAATATAACAGAAGAAGAAACATACAAAGACTTAGGACGGATGACTTGTCACCCACTCTGAACAATCTTTATTCTACGGCGGACGACGTTGAGCCTTGGCATCCATCGGCCTTTGGGCATTACTTGGGCCACGGATCGGGCTGATGTCCTCAACTCCTCATGCGTGGGATATATACAGCACCACACACAGGCACATCACACCACACACCACTACACACAACACCACACACACACACGCACACGCACCAGCAAAACAGAGCGCCACAGACGCACATACGCCACACACGCACACACACCACGCACGAACACACTGCACACACACACACCATTACAGAACATATACAATATATACCATACATCATACAATATTATTATATTATTAGTATATACTATAATATACTAATAATATACTAATCATACCTGTGTGTAGATGTGTGTGTGTGTGGTTGTGTGGTGTTGTGTGGTGTGTGTGTGTAATATATGTATTACTATATATATATATATATATATATATATATATATATATTTATATATATATACTATACATATATATTATATTACACACCAACACATATATATATATGCGCGCAGCGCCGTGTTGTGTGTGTGTGTGTGTGGTGGTGGTTGTGTTGTGTGTATGTATGTATGTGTGTATATTATTTCAGTATATATCTCCAAAAGAGGTTTTTATGTATTTTACCAGAACTACTTTATTTTCTAGTCTGGCAGATAAACAATATTTTTCCTTTCTTCTTACGCGGGCATTAAAACAAGAGTTCAAGACAAACAGCCTGGTTTTTTAAGGGGGCCAGGCAGAAAGTATCCCCCTTGCCGCGCAGAAAACCAGCCATGAAAAACAAGGCTTGGGTCGTAAAGTGTTTAGTTTCTTATAACGCTCATGCTGGAAGCGAAAGTTGGAGACGTCAGTCTCGGAACGCAAGAAGCACATTTTCATTTTCTCTTCGTCTCTCTCGTCGTCTCTCTCTCTCTCTCTCCGTCTCTGTCCCCTCTCTCTCTCTCTCTTCGCTCTACTCTCTCTCTCTCTCTCTCCTCTCTTCCTCTTTCCCCAATAACAACACAAACACACACGCTTAAGATGAAGCACGCTGTACCAAACATTCTATCTCCTCTTCCTCGCTTCTGCTGCGTA